ATTGTAAATTCGGATAGTTGTACGGAAAAGTGAAATTTAAAATCGCATAAAAAGTCTTTTAGATTTGTTTTGTAATTGTTCCTTCTAATGCAAACTAACTGTTTTAAAACGATCCATACTTTATTTTTGAGCACCTTCTCTCCCATATTTCATTGATAATCAATTGTATCCGTAATGTTGATGTGCAGACAGCAATTCTTACTCCTCGTTCGTCTCGCACCTCGAGAAGCAATCACTGGCGAACCTCTTTATCGTATTTTCAATTCGAAAGCTCCATTTACAGCTTTTAGCTGACGTGAAATGACCCAATGAGGTTGTTTCGGAAAAGGTTTTTGAAAAATTTAAAGGGGATTATTTACATCCCAAAAAGGAAAGTTGCTCGGTCATTGATTGCAAAGGACTGCTGCTATTTTATTCATATATTTTTGCCACATTTTCAAACATCATTATAATAGTATGGATGTAATATATATGGAAGTCAAACATAATAGACACTTATGAACTTACGGTATCAAGTCACTTTACTATGCACAGTTTGCACCGTAGGGATTGGATGAGGAGGTTTTTAGGAAGCGAAGATTTTGCAGTTGATTCTGGTCTGGGTACATAATGCCTAGGAGTGATTCCATTGCTCTGATACTCTGCTCTGGTGGTGGTTGAACATTCATTATTACTTACATAGTCCGATAAAGTGTGATATTGGATATTGTAGGTAGTATGGATGGAAGACTCAAACATGCACTCACATACACTAACACATAAGTTAATTAATTTTTAGTCTGTAAATTTTAAATTTTTATTGAATTCGAATCGAGATCGACGAAATTTTTTCTGAGTGTTCGATCTTTGTATTAATTATTATAACGAACTAATTTCAGTCTGTAAAGTTAATGTAGTAAGTTAAATTTCTGGTACTTGTAATACCAGTTTAGAAATTAAAATATTTTCTTTCATAACGTTTAAGTAATATAAGAGCAATTCATATTATAGAGGAGCGGTGTTTCCTGATACAAGCCCTATCAAGCCTAAAAACATGAACTATGTCATGTAAAATGAACAAATAGAAACTTTTTTATGACAAGCATTATTACATAGTAGTTGAAGTAAATTTCAACTGTATTTTCAAACTATGAAAAGTTATTTATTTTCGCAAACCTCGAATAAGCTAATTCATGAAAACCAACGCGAATATTTGCTTTGCATTTGACTTGCATTCGCGCTGAGCCGGGGAGACTATTTGAACTGGAATTTACCGGAATTTTCTAGAATTTTCAAGATCTATCCGCCTTCTTGTCGTTGCGAAACGATTTTTCGGAATTCTCGAAGATAGTTTTCAAATATTGAGTCTTAACACAAATAGTTATTTGTAAGAAGCAATAAGATTTATGTTCAACAACCTTTTAGCATAATTTTAGTAATAAATAATAAAGTTTGTACCAAAATGGAATATTTCGTAAATTAAGAAACGCCTTTTAAACGAATTTTATTCGCATATTCTTTGATCACTCGATAAAATGTATCGCTTGTTAATTAAAAAAATACATAATTTACACGAATTTTGAGTAATTTAACAGTCATCGTAAACATTTAAAACATAACAACTTACTATAATAAAGTACTTAAAAAATATATATGACAGTATCGGTTTCCGGCTTCTACTTTGTTTGGGATAACTATTTTAAAGTAATATGTTATGAAATAAACCCAGTTTATAATCTATCTTAAGCCCTAATTTTATCTAAACATCCAAACTTATTCAATATAATATATATGTAAACAACTTACACTTGAAATGGTCAAGTCAATTGTACTAATTCAAAAGGGAGGAGAAGCTGTGTGGGTTGCAATATAGATATTTTTGTTTATAGATATTTTCGTTTACACATCACAAATAAAAACGTTCTAAAGGATCTAAACGGATTACTCTCATCGAATTTTCTCATCCAACCGTACAGAAGCTGATGATAACCTTTTGAATAAAGTAATTATTTCAATACAGTTTTAAACCTCGTAAATGTTGAGTATGAACAAGTATCTTATAATAGATGCGTAAACATTGTTCCTTATGAATTTCTGACTTATATATTTGAAATATTACTTAAAAGGGATGGGGTTCTATAAGAATAAACTCATTTTAAATCCCTTGTAAAAGCCAGCTGTCGTCAACTCTCCCTAATAAAAACCTTCGTAAAAACTGAACCTTCATAAAATTCGCATGTTAAATGATTTACTATATCCTTACAATGTCATAAAATTGTGCAAAAGAAGCTAAAAATATGATGTCAAATTATCAATCTCTTTTTGAAATAAAAAGAGTTGTTGAAAGTAGCTAGCTTACAATTGGTTCTTTTTTAAAGAGGCCTTAATACGCAACAAGTAATCTTTAAACAAAATCAAACGTATTTAAAGTAAAAATGAACATAATCCGCGTTGTTGCAGTATTAAATTACTGTAGGTCCGTTTCAACGATCACTACAGACGCCGCAGTGGCTTCAATTGGATCAGTGTTGCAAGCGAATAGAAAAATACTATCGATAAACCAATCGATACTATGACAACGTCGAAAACTATTACTGTCGACGAACAATATCGACACAGGGTTGTTAGTACACTATACAAATCAATCAATATTATCGATACAGTGACATTCGAAATAAACTATCGGTAATTAAACAAATTACATGTTGTCGTGGACAAATAACACAACCAGGACCAGTAAACCAATAGCCTTACTAAAAATTGTAGTTTATCAAGCAACCAACATTATCAAAGCATTCCTTTTTATGTCCTAATAACTACGTCGTCTTTCATATCACAAAACTCTCTTATCACACAGTCTCTATTTCAGTCTCTAAAAATTACACCACACCAATACATTCACCCCACTTTCAAACGTCTGTCATAACCAACATTCACTACCATACATCAGGCGTGGGGCCAACATGAAAACAGCCAAATGCATTTTTTGCTGTGTTCTGATTACCTACAACTCAGAACTCTACTCACTTCCGGTTTTCAGTCCAATATTTATTATATTCAGTTCAATAGTCTAATAAAAGTACAATATTAGTTTTTATATTAGACAACATCACACGCTGCTCTGATCCCAGAGCAACTGTGAACTAACTAACTAAAACACGTGTGTTATGGAAATTGGAAACAACAACAGTACCACAAACACTCATTGACTTGACCGGGGATCGAACCCGGGACCTCAGAGATGACAACACGATGAAATCCGGTGTGCAAGGCCCTCGACCACGGAGGTTTGTTCCGTAAGCTTAGCATGTTAAGTATTCCAATGATATTACTGATCAAATTAGAGGCTACGATTCTCTTTGCCATTGAAATAGTTAAATAAACCCTTTATGCAATTATCGATAACCATACAACCCTACGGCTGCTCGGCCAGATCGATCCGAGAGTCGGTGGTTTCCAACACTACTTTATACAGATTACTGACAATCGATCACGTCGACAGCGTAAAGAGAGAGATAATCGTTTTAGAGAGAACGATAGTGGTCTGCGGAAGGAAAGACATTTGTACCGAAATCTGTCTTTAGGATTTTTTAGTTGAGTCTTTCTCCATAAATCCAAGAGACGTTTCGTTTAATGACAGTATCTGCTCATCAGGCTTGGTATGACCGCACAGACAAACGATATGTCTTCTTCAAAATGTAAATTCACGCCCAAAAATTACTTCACGCAAATCTACAGATACGAGAGATGGGTTTACTGTGAGAGTATTCATAGTTTAATGGCAGACAGCATTTTGCTTTGGGTTTACGCCGCCGATATTAATAGAATCTTAGAGCAATTCACAAAGTGGGCCTCCGAGTGTCTCTGGAAAATAAGTTTAAAGAAATTAATATTCACAACAGAGTGCATTTACGAAAGTGTAATTTATGTTAACAACAATACTTTCAATAATACATACGTATTATATTAAGTTCCATATAGTTATTAAAACGCGGAAAACAAAAACTTGCTGTTCATATCAGACGTCTCCACAAATTTATCTAGGGAACAATGTGTATGCCTCTATAATAAGACCTCGGTTGATATTCAAAATTAGTATTGAAACAAAACTATACACTGAAGGTTACTATTATAACGTTTCTGCGTACTTGAATGATAAAATCCATGGCATGTTCTTTCAGGTTGCTTCTATATTTGAAATAAATATTGAAAACGATAAATGTAAACAAATGTATGTGTAAATTTACAACGTGCAATCTCTAGAGTTTCTCGCTCTTCTCAGGGGAATCTGCCTTACGGATGAGAACTTGTGTTTAATCAATAGACGATTTTAAGTGTAATTTGCATGCCTGTTAAATGATACCCTAACCTCAGTACAGAGTACAAAAAACCGACCTCAAAAATTATTTATCTCCTAGTTTACCACCCTTAGAAGTCGAATATTTTCTTCAAATTTAAATGGGACCACTTCTGAGGTATTCTCTAGTTATGACGTAATATACATACAAAAAAACATACGGTCGAATTGAGAACCCCTCCTTTTTTGAAGTCGGTTAAAAATAAATTTGAATTTCAACTTGAAATCGAGCATAACCTTCGAACACACTAATATTATAAGCGCCGTAGTTATTACGTAAGATAAAGTTTCCGTCGCACACTTGCTGTAATAATTTGCCGTATGTAGTTCTTAAATTTTTTTTTACTTTTAACGTATCAATACCTCCAACGAACACTACGTCAATATTATTTTTTGATCAGATTCTGTTATTTTTATAAGCAACCATATTTATTTACTAATATCATGCGCCCAGAATTTTGTGGAAAAAAAAGAAACAAAAAACAAAATTAATTAAGTTGGCATGTTCATTGGAGGTATCGGTGTAACCGCATGTGACTTTATTGTACCAAGAATAAAAGACACGTTTGTTAATGTTAGTGCGAAGAAAAGAATAGAAAATATTTTTGAATTTTTGTAGTATGTAATTTGCTGTAAAATGAAGTAATCCATGTTAATCACTTACTAATAAGAAAGAGGTATATGCGTGTTTAGGACGTGACGTTTGTTTGTTATATTGACTTTACATTATGTACAATGTGTGTCTTATCTAAATTTGATACTCCTTGTAGTTCCAGTTCCACGTCTTGTTGACGCTGTTGTCGCAAACGACTGGCTTCAGTGGAGAATGAATCTGAAATATATAAATATTGTTGTATTCGAAATAATATTGCGAATGTTATCTAATAGAGTCGAGTTTCTTTGTTTCAAAGTTAATATGAATAAAAAATTTAGCATTTAAAACCAAATGGACTTAGCTATCGTTATTTTCCCATAGAATCCATAAACTTAAAAGTGAAACAGTGACCGACTTTTGCACTTTCAAATGTTACCAGTAAGAGCTAACGTGAGAGATTGTTTAGATTAATAAAATACAATAAATAATAATTAATTGTTTGCTCTTGCCATATACTTAATTGTAAGTTAAATTACAATTGTAAATTAGTCTAAATTCTTAGAGGTATTACTACCAAGCATTCATAAATATAATAAATACTTGGCGCCAAAGGGATTCAAATCACACATCTCTAATTTAACAAATATAAATAACATAAAGTATAGAACATAAAGAGTATGTCATGGGGGATCGTAATTGTAGTGAGTCGTCATTACAAAGTACCTGAGGGCCTACAGGCTCGCTACAAGGCGGTTGCAAGCGCAGAGGCTCGTATTCATCCGACATGCCGCTATCCGGCGACGGAAGAATGTTTATGTAGCCCTGCGGCTGGGCACGGGTCTTGTGCACGCAGTAGTCGCCCGTGAAAGGATTCTGGTACGCCACTACCGTCCTGTTGAAAATTGATAATAAATAGAGGTTAAGGGAAGACGTTATTACATTACAAGATTAAGGATAATTTTTTTATGATACAAATGACGGGACGAACACGTCGTGCGCCTAAGCGACACGCCTATCTATAGCATTTGCAAGGCTACCTATCAGTAGTCCGAAATGACGTTTTCCAGAAATTTGTTTCGTTTGCTCGAATTTTCATAACCTCGAAAGTAATTAACTAACTAACTGCCTCCGTGGCCAACGGTTACCATGCCGGACTGCCATGCAGGTCACAGGTTCGATTCCCGGGCCGGGAGAAATATTTGTACGGCCTACATTTATTTGTCTCGTGAGTTTGGGTGTAATTTGTAATTGTCTATTTGTGTGTCCATGGCACCCGCGACACAGGGTTTCCCTAATGCGGGGCTATGTCGAGTGTGTGCGTTAAAAAAAAAATTTTTTGAGAGGAAAATGTTTTTTCTTTTAAACCTAATTTAATCTAACCTAACCGAACCTAATTGTGTCTTTGCGATAAACATCTAACATATCCCGAAAGAACAGCGATTTCGTTATTATTCTGTTTTCGGTGTAATGAAAAATCGAACAGACGTTATTTCGGAAAAAGAAAATTCGATTTGTGATAGGTCACCCATTTGCAATGTCACTCAGAGCTTTTAATCGCAAAAATCTTATAGGCGCTGCCACTGCGCCCGTCACCTTGAGACATAAGTTGATAAGTCCCACGCGCCTGTAATTTCACCAGCACCCTTACCCTCCAAAACCGAAACGCAGTAATAGTCACATTGTTGCTTGGTGGCAGAAATAGGTAACCTGAAAGTTACTTTCCTAGGCGAACTCTTTCACAAGGAGCTCTACTGCTACTACAAATTTATTAACTATGAAACAATAACATTAATGTTAAATAGTCTTAAATTAGGATTTCCCTGTTCTATTGATACCATAACAACGAAATTAACTCATGAAATACTAAACGCTCATGCAATGTAATTTAAAAAAGTCCTTGTTAATTGCCGAGAATCATAGCCTTGAACACCTCATCTAGAGCTAGCAGAGCTAACCACTGGGCCACTGCGGTCGTAATAAAAGTAACGAGCAGCGAACTAAACAAGAACATGTTATCTGTTTCCAGAACTATCAAGTTAGTTCTCCGCAAAATTTTCGCGTAGCGAAGCAAGTGCTACGCTCGCTCCGTAGCGACGTAGCGTTTACGGCGTAACAACAACGTAGCATTGTCATTATTATGATAACTTCGAAAATGTAATTATTAATACAAATAGGAAATGAAACTATTTTTCCGGATTTAAATCGCGTCTATTTGTTTTTTCAAACAAACGACGTTTCGGGCCCTTTACAGGTCCCATGGAAAAATAGTTTCATTTCCCGTGTGTAACAATCGCGAAAACCTAAGAACTCGATATTAATACAAAGATCGAATACTCAGAGAAAATTCCTTCGATCCGGCCGGATTCGAAAATTTAGTTTTTAATGTGTAATATTAAGCCGCTACCAGATGGATTGCATGCACTCGATATATTATACAACTAACCTGACTGTATACTGTTGATGACACTGCTTGTGAGCAGTTTTTGCCGCGCGTTTAGCTCAGGTGCTCCGTGTATTTGTTGATTCCGAAATGGTAGCACAGATGTTATTTTTAGCTTATCATTGTATTCAGAACATTTATGATTCTAAATGCTGACTTTACATTGTATTAAGGAAATAAACGTGTCACTACCGAAATCCTCCATTTTAATTTGTCAACAAACTGTCGTCTTGAGACGCCTTATCTTCTTTGAAGGTGATTTCACATTAAAAAATATTTTAAGAATTGTGCAAATGTGAATAAATCCGTGTAATAAAGTTTTACAAATTGTGTTTTCGTTCATCAAGTAATCGTTACCTTTTGCTGTTACTGAATAAAATCAAGTTTCATATATAAAGAAGTCATATATCCTCTTACTACTGTCAATTGCAGACCATAAAAAAATGTTCGCATCGACTGCAGCTAACATTCGTAGTTAAAATTTCGATTGCACGCATTTAAAGTCTGCACGATCACGACTGCACACATGCAGTCTATCTGTCAGCTCTAGAGACGAAAGTAGATTATTTTGTTAATAATCAAAAAGTATGTCCAAGTCCAAATTTTCATTATCAGACTAGTTTTGTCAAGACCGTTAGTCAGCCGGCTATACACAAGTTGACGTCAAAAAAGGTGCCCATAGACAACTATGAACCTAGTGTACTCATAATATCGTGACGTTTATTTAAAGGGCAAGTACATATCGCACCCTTAATAATAAAGCGAGGAAATAAAAAAGTACAATTTTGTGGGAAAAAAATGTAATACATCGTTTTTCATATCAAATATAATTTTGTTATATTTGGTAAATAGTATGACGAGATTTTTACATTTTTAAATTTATTTTGTTAATTTACTTACTAAATCACTTAATTCTTACTCATTTACTTAATTTTCCCAAAAATTACTTTTCGCACTAAGCCTCTTTATCCTTGAGGATGCTATATTGAGTTTCTCACATTATACTCTAAAGTGTGAATGAAAGTTACCTCAATTCCTCAGCAGTTTCTCCTTCTTTCTTGTGCGAAAACACTACTTTTGTAGGCCTTAATAGAATACGCGTCTAAAAAACAACATTATAAAATCAAACACACAGAATCGACACTACAATTCCATTCCATTTAGCACGAATGGACGTAACTTGTGACGGTATATTTACATAATTGGATTCAGAATTTAATATTATATGTTGTAATATAAATAGAACGGCGACCACGTCAAAGCAAACGTAGTGTGGACGGACGACCTGAGAAAGGGGGGTCGCTTGTGGTTGGATGCGGTCGACAGAAGACCGGAAGAGTTGGCGTGCCCAAGGGAGGCTTGTAACTATTTTACCGGCACTGCCACTGTGCCGGTAATTTTAAAGATGATTTTTTGTTGAAATCGTAAATTACGCCCATTAGTGCTATAAGAGACAAATTGTATGTGAGTACCTGCAAACTTCGCAACAGCCTATATACGCAGAACACGCTATACCCGCACATGAACATTATTAGAAGGTACTGGAACAAAAATATTTTTTAAGCAAATATATATAACTTTCTTTATTTAAAATGAGTCCGTTAATAGTTTTTTCTATCATTTAATAAAAAATTTAATATTTTTTTATGATACCGGTGTATATTGGTAAGCGACTCAATAGTTGCAGTGCCACTTAAAGCTTGAAACCACAAAAATCTGAGGGATACTGCCATTGCGCCCGTCACACAGAAACATAGGTTGACAATTTCCATGTGTCCGTAGTTTCACCAGTACCCTTCAAAACCAGAACGCAGTAATGCTCGCATTACTGCTTGGCATCTAAAATAGATAATGTAACAAGCTTTACAGCAGCAAGCTTTACAGACAAAGTGTGCAAACGTAGCAACGTTTGCACACTTTGTCTATGTATTTGAATAAAGAGCTTGCAGAACCAAGTCATGTTGAGAGAATAGGTAATATCTCCTATTCAACAATAAAAAATGTATTTGTTTTTAAGGTTGGGTCAACCATGCCACGTGTAAAATTGGAACGACCTTCGGAGGTAGGTCGGTACGGAGGTGGGAAGGTAATGCTTTAGACAGGTGGAGACCCGTCTCAAGTCCTACCTACATACAACAATTAATGTTGAGAAGCTATCACATTCTTTACAATGTAAGATTCTGTTTGTGTTCATGTATTTGTTCTGTGCATTAATATATTCTTAATATTGTGAATATTTATATTATTATTATTATTACTCTCCTTCACTATTTTCTTAGCTAACTACATTTACGGAAATATTATTTATTTAGTACTTAAATTTGTGATTCAGGGGGTTTAATGATGCTAGTGATACTGCTGGTATGGGTCGGCGTGTTGTTTATTTTTATTCGTCCTATCTCGGGATATCGTAAAAAATAATCTTGTTGTAATGTCAATCATTACTCCCAATATATACATTTAGTGTTATGCGTTTTACCCTCATGACTTTTTTTTTTTTTTTTTTTTTTTTTTTTTTTTTTTTTTTTTTTTTTTATGACATTAAGTAACGGGACGAACAAGTCGTGTGCCTGATGGTAAGCTACACGCCTGCCCATAACAGTTGCAGTGCCACCAAGAGCTTTAAATTACAAAGATCTTGGGGGCACTGCCACTGCGCCCGTCACCCTGAGACATAAGTTGACAAGTCTCATGTGCCTGTAATTTCACCAGCACCCTTACCCTTCACAACCGGAACACAGTAATGTGACCATTACTGCTTGGCGGCAGAAATAGGTAAGGTGGCAGTACTTCCCTGGACGAGCTCTTTCACAAGGAGCTCTACTGCTACTATCTATACTATACTATATGACGGACTAAAACAGAGTAACTGCGAGTGTTTTGTATGCGCGTAATCCTCAGATGCTGAGTCATAGACCCTTTTGACATGCCTTTTTACTTTGTTCCTCATTATTATTATATTTAAAGCAATTTTATATTACTTTTTTATTCATTTAAGTTACAATCTCCGTAATTATTTTTTCTTCACTAAATTTAAATACATCCTTGGTTATAAAGAAAATAATAAACATTTCTGAGAAGGACTTTAAAACTTACTGCGTTTTAAACCTAGGCCCTACACGTGTTCTGTCCAAAATAGGTCATCGAAAGTTTTCACTTACCAAAATGACTAACAACACAATATCAACTACATATATAGCAGACATATTTCCACAATCACATTAAAAAAAAAAACACAGTTAAACAATTTGTTCGAGGAGAAATGAAGGGAAATTGTTCAAATACCAAACACTGTTGTTATGAATTCCGTCTCCAGATTCAAATTTTTGTACAAACACGTTCATTGGTCGAATTTAGAAAACAACTCCAAAAAATATCTGGAATGATTGGATGAAAATTGCAACTGTCGGAAGGCGGTTGGAGGAAATATCTTGCAGGACTTCAGTGAACCAATAGGAGTGAGTTGCAGATAGAAGATGAATCTGCTACAAAACTGCTAGGTCGAGTTCATCAAAGAGTATAAAACACAGACAGGACAATTTCCCACATGGCAGCCAGGGCATAATCCTTTTGTACGATATTTTAAAAGAAAATATCCATTTGTCATGAAAACATACTACTTATAGTAATTTTATATTATTTATTAGTAGAAGCTCTTTGTGACAGAGTTCGTCCAGGTAAGTACTGCCATCGTACCTATTTCTACAGCCAAGCAATAATGTGAGCATTACTGCTTTCAAGGGTAAGAGGTTGCTGGTGAAATTACAGGCACATTGAACTAGTTAGCTTGTATCTCAGAGTGACAGAAATAGTGGCAAAGTCCGTTAGATTCTTGTGATACTGTTATGGACAGGCGTATCGCTTAGCACCAGGCGCACGACATGTTCGTCCCGTCACTCGGTATCATAAAAAAGAAGTATGAATTATAGAAAAAAGATAACACAATTAGAACAAAACCTATTTAAGTTTTTTACATTAAAATGAAAAAAAAAGTAATATTAACAAATTTAATAATGAAAGTAATGTTATGTATGACTAATACAGAATTTTTACTATATTAGTTATCATACATAATATTTTCGTTGTTTTAAGTCGTGCCTATCTTGAAAGCCCTACTTTACTTCGATCTGCTACTATCTTTTCGTATGGCGGTAAATAAATCTTCTCAGTAATTATATAATAACTTCCTAAGTACGATATAATTAGAAGTTAAAGAAGAAATAAAAAAAAGCACAACATATCTTACTTTTTTTCTAGTTAGGAGTCATACAGTTTAAAGCCTTGCAAATGTAAAAAAAGTATAAAAAATATCTATCAGATAGGTCCTGGCAGTCGTTCCCACAAGGACTCAACTCCTAGACATGTATCAGTAGTAATGATGTTTCTCACACATAAATAAAATTCGGTTCAAATAGTCACCATTCGAGGGAAAATCTTAACACCGCGATGCAGAAATTAAGTAAAAAGGATCAATGCCGTCTAGCGAATTTCTAAAGAACTATCTGACAAACAAAGCGGATTAGTAAACTCTTTGGTATAAATTGGGTTTGCTACATAAGTAAATTAGTTAATTAATTTAAAATGTGTATCGCGTTTGCATTGCTGCTAAAAGTGGCCGTGTGTAACAGCTCTTACAAGCACTTGCTTACTAGCGTCGATAATAGAGCAAAAAAGTAGACACAGGAACTAACCTTTATTACAGGGTTTGTACTGCACTCGTTGCATTGATCGCGACGAGTAATAGGTAGACAGATGGTAACTTTCTTGGCTAACACAAAACTGGATTTGTCCCCTAATCTGCCACCCTTAGAATACTATCTTTAAATATAAATGAGATCTCTGCTGAAGTAACCCCTTTCCAAAAAAAAGGAATTATCGAAATCGGTTCACAAATATCGGAGTAATTGCATAACCTACACTCACTAAAAACAGCCTAATGGAGATTCAATTGAAAATTCAAATATTTAACTACGTTTTTAGCTTCGAACTGTGCTATTTAATATGTACCAATTCCTTCATCTGGCAAATTGATTTATTCTATGGTAATCTCAGTAGCAATGGCGCCAGCTGTGTCGCGCCGTCTGGCTGCCTCCTACGACCTATATTATATTATATCATTAAAGCCCCACACAATTCATACAAAAAATAAGCGGCATATGGGTCTTGCCGCATTGGTTTTGTATTGTAAATTCATTGGTGAAGACCCTCTTAATACATACAAACAGTACTTTACATAAGGGTCTTGTTGTACTCGACAGACCGTAGATTGCTTTGTAAAGTCTCTTTGATTCCTAACAAGTAGTATGCATTCGTGAGACTTAAGCATTGGAAAATATTTATAGAAAAATATTTTTGTTTCATGAGGTCACTTGTTTTCTTAGTAAATCAGGTCCTAATCTCTAATCTTAAGCACATAATCGTTAGGATAAGAAATTGATGGTTTTATCGTAGACCGGCGAAAGAATTTTGTAGGAATGTTAAAATGCAAAACGGTGACAACAATTATCCGCAGGGCTAAAAACGCCGCATTGGCAGAATTCACATTTCAAATCGCAAAAAGGTCACTTAACTGACATTCATATTATGAATTGCTATCAATTTATACAACGCAATTCATTTATTTGACATTGTTCTATAGAAATGCGTAAAAGGGTGCAGAACATAGGAATTTCTTTTATGTCAAACAGCAGAATCTTAAGAAGTTATTCGAGAGCAACATTTTACAATTCATTACTATTCGAATAATTGAACTTTCATTCGAATTTCCGGACTCCGAAATTAGCGGGCTTTATGGGTTAAATAAAAGTTTGTGTCATAAACCATATAAGAATTTGAGCCTTATCCGAGAGGTGGAAAAAGTATAACTACCAAGATAAGTGTAAGAATCATCACTACAATACATTCATGTAATTTCTATTTATGATTTAACTGTTTTGTATAAAGTACCTATTAAGTGCATTGAGTTTTTAAGCATCTGGGTTTATTGAAGCCAGGGTAGGTATACCACAAAATGCAACAAGTCCATATCTCCAAATGCGTGAGAGCTGTGACAGTGGCCTTCAACAATGAACATTTCAAGTGAAAGTACACCAATTTTCCACGATCATAATGTAATAAAGGGTAATATTAAGTCAGTCTTAAGTAACCAATGGTAATCATCTAATTTTTTCAAATATATAATAGACACACTTGGCCACAATCTCACCTGATATTAATTATTCACTGTAGCCTTGAATAGCCCCAAATGGTTGCAATGGTTTTTGTATTAAACGTGGGGCGCACTATTAAGTTTAGTTTGAGGATAAATGGTCAGAAGTGAATTTATTGTTTCTCAAAATATTCTCCGTTAGCGTTAATGCACTTTTTCATACGAATGAACCAATTTTGAAAACATTTATGCCACTCCTCCGTGACAATCTCTGAAACATATTTTTCATACTCTTCGACAGCCTCTTCAGGTGATGAAAATCGTTGACCGCGTAACTGGTTCTTAATTTTTGGAAAAAAAGTCACAAGGTGTCAGGTCGGG